GGCTCGCCCCCCCCTTGCTGCCCGGCACCCACCTGCTCACACTCTGCTGGCTGCGGGTTTTAAGAGATTGGGGCCCGAGAGAGAAGTGAGGAGGCTTAGCTCCCAGACCTTGGGGGAGGAGGAGCTGTAAGGGGCAGCCCCCCTCCACCGTAGCCCTCAGGTGGAAAGAGCAGGTAAGCTGGGGGCAGTGCAGCTGAGTGTTTGGGGGGCTGAGAGACCTGACGCCTCTGTCCGAGCTGCGAGGGGTGTGAGGGGGTCTCTCAGCTCTGGCAGCACTAAGGCAGGACCTTCTGCAGCTGTGCTGGAAGCCTGGGAGCCCACGGTGCTCCCTCCACGACTCGCTGCTTTGATTTGGGGGGGGCTGGGTATGCTGGCTGGGTGGCAGGTTGCACAAGAGGAAGCCCCGGGGCACCTGCCTGATCTTTCTGGAGCTGGAGCCGGCAGAGAGGTGTTTCCCCTGGAGCTGGTGCCTTGGTTGCATGAGTGGTGACAGATGTCTAGGAGCATCAGAACCCTCCTTTCCCTTCTCAGGAGTGTGCCGTTCCCAACGCGGCTGGGCCAGGGCCGGCGAGGAGCAATGGGAAGCATCCCGCCGCTACCCAGGGGCCCTGCTTGGCCATTCGAAACACCCCGGGGTGTTGAGGGCATCGAGGGGATGCCTCTGTGGTGGGCAGTCATGTGGGAGACAAGTGAGAACTGGCCTGAGTTTTGAAGGGCTTTAAAAGCTATGCAGGATTTATTTTTATTTATTTAAATATATTTTTATTGATTTCAAGGAGAGGGAGAGAGAGAGAGAAACATCAGTGATGAGAGAGTCATTATTGATCGGCTGCCTCCTGCACCCCCCCAACCGGGGATCAAGCCCACAACCTGCCATGTGCCCTGACCCGGAATCCAACCGGATTGCCTGGATCCTACATCGACACTCAACCGCTGAGCCACGCCCAGCCGGGCGCTATGCAGGATTTAGACTCTGAGCTGGAGGGAAGTGTGCTTGCCTGTAACACACTGAAATACCCACAGTTCTGAGTGAGGGCTGCTCTTGGGACCCTGTGGCTGGGAAGGCCGACAGATCTGTATCCAAATCCTGCTCTGCAACTTGCTAACATGAGACCCTGGGGCAGTGAGTTGATCTCTCCAATCTTTATGACCTCTCTCATATGTCCATGACACTCCTGCTCCAGATCTGGCCACTGTCTGTGCTGACATGTTACTACCCCTCTCTTTTATGTTTATGTCTCATTAACCCTATGGGTCTGTAAGTCTGAAGCAGGTAGGATTTGCCTCTGACATGTTTCTGTCTCTGCCACCCCACACTGTGGCACCCAATGCAGTGTTCTGCACAGAGGTGCACCTGGGCTTGAATCCCAGCCATCTGATCTTGGGAAAGTTGTTCCACCTTTCTGTGCCCACCTTGGGATAACAGTAGTACCTGCTTTTCCTATCTAGGCTGAGAAGAGCCAGAGCCCACAGGCCTCCTAGGAAAACAGCTCTGAACAGGGGATGTGATCGTGAGGCAGAATCTGCAGACCCTGCAGGAAGAGGGCTCTCAGGGCCATGGCCCAGGTCAGCATCAACAGTGACCTTGGAGAGTGGGGCTTCAGCACGGATCCTGGGGAGCGAGCCCGTCTGCTGCAGAGTCCCTGTGTGGACTCGGACCCTAAGAGTGAAGGGGAGGTGTCTCCTGAAAGTCTGAGCAGAGGCACCACATCCACATTTGGAGCCATCTTCATTGTAGTCAACGCCTGCCTGGGTGCAGGGCTGCTCAACTTCCCAGCAGCCTTCAGCACTGCCGGGGGTGTGGCAGCCGGCATCGCCCTGCAGATGGTGAGTGTGCAGGCCGATAGGGCAGAAATGCAGTTCACCTGCTGGGTCTGGATTCTGTGCCTCAAAGGGGAGGTTTTGGATCTGGGATGGTCAGAGCTACCACTCTCACCACCCTCACACATGGCAGACATTACTAATCTGTTCCAGCATCCTTTCCTCTGAGCCCAGATGAGGCTTCAGAAGCCTTCCCAGCAATCAGGGAAAGTTGACACCAATTGCATACCTAATCATCTTGTGGTTATGTTTAAAAAGTAGCCCCTTATATTTTAGAACTACATGAAATATTACTGATGAAATTATATGAGAACATTTTTTAATGTGTTTAGTGATTTCAGAGAGAGAGAGAAACATCAATGATGAGAGTCATTGATCGGCTGCCTCCTGCACACCCCCTACTGGGGATTGAGCCTGCAATCCGGGCATGTGCCCCTGACAGGGAATTGAACCGTGACCTCCTGATTCATGGGGTGACCCTCAACCACTGAGCCACGCTGGCTGGGCATGATATGAGAACTTGTATTTTCGTCAGAATAATCCAGAATGGGAGAATGAATGAACTGGTCATTTTGGAAGCTGAGTAATGAGTACATGGGGATCCATTATACCATTCTGCCTACATTTGTGTGTTTGAAATTTTCCACAAAGCTTGTTTTGTTTCTAAAGAAAAATCTCAGTCGGCAGCCTCCATTAATCTATTAAAATTGCCCTGGAAGATGAGGTTTATTTGCCAAAGCAGCTTTGGGCATTGGCCCAGTAAATGCTGAGCAAGACCAGGCTGCCCTTTGCTGCCAGGACTTTCCACACCCTCTTGCTCTGCCCCTGCCCACAGGGCATGCTGGTTTTCATCATCAGCGGCCTGGTCATCCTGGCCTACTGCTCCCAGGCCAGCAATGAGCGGACCTATCAGGAGGTGGTGTGGGCTGTGTGTGGCAAGCTGACAGGCGTGCTGTGTGAGGTGTCCATTGCCATCTATACCTTCGGCACCTGCATCGCCTTCCTCATCATCATTGGGGACCAGCAGGACAAAAGTGAGGTTCCCTCAGTAGCTGCCTCATCCCTCCCCCTTGGCCCTGGGGATTCTGGGGGGGAGGGAAAGGGTATGGAACACCCACCCAAGGCCTCGCCTGGGCCCGACCTTCACCTAGAAACCCTCCCTCCTGCCTACTGGGCCCATTAGACAGATGGAGGTCTCAAGGCCCAGCAGAGCAGGAGGACCGCACCCTGCAGTAGCCTGGCATGACATTGTTCCTTCCTTCCTCCCTGTTCAGTTATAGCTGTGTTGGCAAAGGAGCCCGAGGGGGCCGGTGGCAGCCCCTGGTACACAGACCGCAAGTTCACCATCAGCCTCACTGCCTTCCTCTTCATCCTGCCCCTTTCCATCCCCAGGGAGATCGGCTTCCAGAAATATGCCAGGTTCGGAGGCCCCACCCCAACCTGGCCCAGACAGAGCTCTGATCACAGGCAGCTGGGGACCCAAGGGCTGCCGGGGAAACCCTGTCCGCCATGCCACCTCACCTTCTGGGGCAGCGAGAATGGGCTGGCCAGGGCTTGCAGGGTTTCCAGCACAAGACTTCCTTTTCTGTCAGTAACAAGGGGGACAGTGGCTCTTAGCATCAATGGGATATTCAGTTTTGATGTCCTTGTTAAAAATGGGACAGGTGACAGTCAGAGGGTGAAGGCAGCCTCCTGGCCTAGACCTTGGCTTTCCTAGAGAGAATGAGGTTTTTGATCAGGGGGATTGTCAGCCTGGCAGCATCCTCCACACGGCCTGTTATGAAGGGAGAGGACTGGCTTCCTGGCTCAGGGTCTGAAAAGCTGTTTCCTGCGACCCATAATTGACAGGGTCACACTGAGCTGTCTCCAAGGTCCACTGTAATGTTGCCATTCTGGTATTTGTACCCTCAACCCTTTTACCTCCAGCACCTCCTAGTTCTCAAAGGCCCTGCCTGCAGCCCTCACAGGTGTGGGCCGCTCTGATGGAGGAGACGTGCTTTGAAGCCCAGTCCTCTGAGCCGTGGAGCTGAGCCCGGGCATTTCCCAATGGTCAGGATTCTCAGTCTGATCCCCTGTTGGGATCCAGCTCCCTCCTAGGTGTGGCCGGTTTCTTCAAAACTTATTTCTCGTGCATTTCTTTTTTAAAAAAATATATCTTTATTGATTTCAGAGAGAGGAAGGGAGAGGGAGAGAGAGAGAAACATCAATGATGAGTCATTATTGATCGGCTGCCTCCTGCACGCTCCCTGCTGGGGATCGAGCCTGAAACCCAGGCCTGTGCCCTGACTGGGAATCAAACTTTGATCTCCTGGATCCTAGGTTGATGCTCAACCGCTGAGCCACACCAGCCGGGATCTCATGCATTTCTTGAGCCTTTGCTTGAAATAGTCTCCCATCCGTTCAGTAGACTCTTGTGGTCACTCTAGCTGAGGGTGGATGCCCCTGGGGTGCAATCAGGGAAAAGGCAGCTGGGGCTGAGGAGGAGGGAGTCCAATGCATTCTTCCCGGCAGCTTCCTGAGCGTCGTGGGCACCTGGTACGTGACTGCCATCGTTATCATCAAATACATCTGGCCGGATAAAGAGATGACCCCAGGGGACATCCTGACCAGGTGGGTGGGGGCCCCCAAGAGACACGCGGGGTAGAATCAGAGACAGGAGAGACTTCACCACTAACATCCAACAACCGAGTCAGCGCGAGATGAGGCCTCCAGCTGTGGAGACTGCCAGGGCCAAGTTGCTCATTTTTCCAACTTGTGCTTCTCTGTAATTTCTGTATCTTCTATATCAGGGTGAATCTATTTGGTCATTTAAAAAAAATAAAAGTTTCCTTTCTTTGAAAGGAACAAACCAAAGAAATAAAAGCCCCAATGTAAGAACCAAAATTTCTGAATTTTGGTCCCAGAGAGACCTTCCAGAGCCTCAGTTTACTGACCTGTGAAATGGAGACATGTCCTCTCCCTGTTCCCCAGCTTCTGTGGTTGAATGTGTAGAGGCTGTGGAGGCTGAATGGAGAGTCAGGGTGTGGGGGTGGTTGGGGGTGGTTGGGGGTGGTTGGTGGCTGTGTGGGGTTCACAGGCGGCCGATTCTCCTGTGTCTATCCACAGGCCAACTTCCTGGATGGCCGTGTTCAATGCCATGCCCACCATCTGCTTTGGATTTCAGGTGCCAGTTGCAAGGTCCCTGTCGTCCCCTTAGCTCGCTCCCCACCCCAGGATGGAGCCCACATGACAGGAGGATTGAGGGGGGGGTCCTGGGAGGAAGGATGGAGTAGGGACCTCAGATTCACCCCTCGTCCCTGTGGTCTTTGTCCCCAAGGCACCTCCCTCTGGAAACGGGGTGAGGTCACTTCCCCACCATAACTGTGACCTTCACCCTGACAGTGCCACGTGAGCAGTGTGCCCATCTTCAACAGCATGCGGCAGCCCGAGGTGAAGACCTGGGGCGCGGTGGTGACGGCCGCCATGGTCATAGCCCTCGCCGTGTACATGGGCACAGGTGAGGGCTCCCACTTTCCCAAGGGAAAGCCACTGTGAAGGAATAACAGGTTGTTATGCGAGTGCCTGGGGTGGGGGTTGTTGTGGACGGGCTGGGAGGGGACAGTGAGCTGAGACCTGAAGGATCAGATGGTGGTGGGAAGAGCTGGCTCTGAGACGGGATGGTGCTGGATGAGCAGAGGATCAGTGGGGGGCAGAGGTGAAAAGGTGATCCCAGCCCAGCACCCTCTAGGCCTCCAGAGCTGCTCCAGCGCCCTCCCCGTCTGACTGACGTCACACCTAGCAGTGGACAGTCCGTCCCCCTTACCCTCCCAGGGGGCCCGACCCAGCCCTCTCATCCCTGCCCTCAGGCATCTGCGGCTTCCTGACCTTTGGAGCCTCTGTGGACCCCGACGTGCTCCTGTCCTATCCCTCCAACGACATGGCCGTGGCTGTGGCCCGCGCCTTCATCATCCTGAGCGTGCTCACCTCCTACTCCATCCTGCACTTCTGTGGCCGGTGAGCTCCCTCCCCACCCCATGGGCTGCTCCCTCAGGGCCCCTGAAAGCCGTTTGGACATGGTCTCTTGGCCTTGTATGGAACCCATTTTGGAGAAAGAGAAACTGAAGCCCATGGGGAAGAGTCGGTGCCTAGCATGACCCTGTCTGTACCCCCAGCAGGGTCGGGCCCCCCCTTTTTTTAAATATGTTTTTATTGATTTCAGAGAGAGGAAAGGAGCGGGAGAGAAAGAGATGGAAACATCAGTGATGAGAGTCATTGATCGGCTGCCTCCTGCACGCCCCCTGCTGGGGATGAAGCCTGCAACCCAGGCATGTGCCCTGATTGGGAATCAAACCGTGATCTCCTGGTTCAAAAGTTGATGCTCAACCGCTGAGCCATACTGGACAGGATTTTTTTTTTTTTAGTCTTGGGGCCCCCTTTGTCCCAGAGTCCCCAGAACATTGTGAGTCCTCTAAGAACCTCTAGCCCAGACCCTTTTCTAGAACACACAGCCTTCAGGTTGCTTTTTGGGAGAATAGAACCCGTTCCCCCCAGGTGATCACGTCCTGGGCCAGGCAGGGCGCTAAGCCCCTTACATGCACCCCTCATGCCATCCCCAGTCCCCAAGCAGCCCTGAGGTCGCTGCTGGGCCCCCTTACAGGAGGGGAAACCGGCTCGCCCACGTCTACCCAGTCGGGCGTCTGGCTCAGGGAGCTGGCAGTGGGGACTTTCAGCAGGGCAGCCTCTGAGCCCCTCCGCGTGTGCAGGGCGGTGGTTGAAGGCCTGTGGCTGCGCTACCAGGGGATGCCCGTGGAGGAGGACCTGGGGCGGGAGCGCCGGCGGCGAGTGCTGCAGACGGTGGTCTGGTTCCTGCTCACCCTGCTGCTGGCGCTCTTCATCCCCGACATCGGCAAGGTCATCTCGGTCATCGGAGGCCTGGCCGCCTGCTTCATCTTCGTCTTCCCAGGTGTGCCCCCCCCCCCGGCGCCCCNGGCGCCCCCCAGCACTGCCTCCCTCCCGGCCTCAGCTCCTCGCCTGCTCGCCCGCCAGGGGGAGGAACCACCAGCATTTACTGTCACCTGCCACGGGTGATGTTCTATTTAGGACACCACCTTGGAAACCTTTGCCACTTAGCTTGGAGCAAGGGGGCCACATGTGCTCAGCAGTGCACTGGGGAGGGCCGTGGGGTGTGCTGCCCCTTTAGCTCTGAGTCTTACATGCAGCCCAAGGTGTGCCTGTCAGATGCTGGCCCCTCCTGGGAGAGCAGGTGCCAGGCCTCCAGCTGGGGTTGGGGGGCAGAGACGGAACATCTAGAAGTGTGAACAGGCCTTTCTCCACCACTGCCTCCTGGTAAGGGGCAGGCGGGGCCTGAGGGAGGGAGCCCACCCAAGCCCTTGGGGTGCCTCCTCTCTTGCAGGGCTGTGCCTCATTCAAGCCAAACTCTCTGAGATGGAAGAAGTCAAGCCAGCCAGGTAAAGCAGGGCCCAGCCCTGGGTCCTCAGGGGAGACACTAGATCAGGGGGCCCTTAAAATCATAGTGGTCAGGAGACTCTCACACTTTGAAAAACAGGAGTTTTTTAAATACTTTTTAAAAAATGGATAATGTGCTAGTTACGACAGTTCAAACACTCCTGAAGGACCTTAGAGGAAATACTGGAGATGCCTCCTCCCTATAGCCCAGGTGCCATTCCCTCCCCACCGGCTCTGTGTCATCAGCATGGTCTGTGCCCTTCCAAACTGTTTCTGTGCTTGTGTACCTATCTGTATGCACAAAGCTGTGCATGTGTATATGCAGACACGTGGGGTTGGGGATCTAGTGTATTTTTCAGACACACTTTTCTGCCACTTGCTTTTTTTTTTCTTTTTTCTCCTCACTTAACCATGAATCGTGGAGATCATTCTATGTCAGCACAAGAAAACTCACTTCTTTGTTTAATGGCTGCAGAATATTCTGTTGCATGAACGTGTCCTGAATGTGAACACTCGTATACAGACACACCTTGGCACACCTGTTCGAAGATCTGGGTAGCATCTATTCTTAGAAGGAAATTGTTCCATCTCAGGGCTTGGCTCATTTATTATTTCAGTGCATGGATTCAAATTAGCCTCCAAAAAGGCAGTGCTAGTCAGAGTCCCAGCAGCAGTGACTGTTCCCCACACCCCTGCCAGCACTGGGTGTAACGGCCTTTTAAATGGATGGATGTAAAACACTACATTGTTTTAATTTGCACATTTCCCTGAATAGTAGAGAGGCTGAGAACAGGTTGCATGATTTAAAAAATTATTGTGCAAGGAATATTCACTATAGAAAACTTAAAAAACATAGACAAGTCTAAGGAAGAAAATAAAAATCATCCTTAATCTCAATACCCGTTAATACCCTTGCTGTTTTTGATACGTACACTTTGATACATACATTATAACCCTGTTGCTATTCTTGATTCATAGACATTTACGCTTTTGATACATTTGCATGTGTCTGCTTTATTATTATTTTTTTAATGAAGTGGCTCACTCTATGTGACCTGCTTTTTCCATCAGGAGACATGCATTTTAATCCTGGTCCTGCCCTTGGCTTGCTGTGACCAGTCGATCCCGTTAGGTTTGGTCTCCTTACCTGTGGATTAGGGATCACACACCTGGCAGCACACATCTTTGTATGAAAAGTCCTTGAGAAGCAGGAAGTGCTCCACCCACAGAAGTGGTTTAAGTGATTACGGTAATTAACTGTGGGGGGGTAAGTCTGTGGAGTCACCGTGGGTTGATTGACCAGGCCCCTCTCTCTCTGCCCTGCAGCTGGTGGGCACTGGTCAGTTACGGAGTCCTCTTAGTCACCCTGGGAGCCTTCATCTTTGGCCAGACCACAGCCAATGCCGTCTTCGTGGATCTACTGGCATAACCACTGCCTCCCGGGAGACACATGGCCTTTGCCTTGCACCCAGGAACCCATCTCTGAGAGCTGCAGGGCCACCCTGCCTGGAGCATCGTTCCCCTCTACTGGTGGGGTGACACCTGGACATCCTTTTCCAGGGACGGATCTGGGGTGAAATCAGCCCCACACTTCTGGACAGCTCACACCCAGCTCCCTTCCTGCTCCCCTGTCCTGGCAGAGCCAGGGTGGTGGGAGGAGTGTCACAGAGGAGCCTCCCCGCTCCTCCAGCTCTCGACTTCTCCATGCCTGGACCCTGTGGGTGAAGAGGGCCAGCAGGTCTCAGAAGAAAGACTCCAGCCTGACTTCCCTGTGGAAAAGGGGTGTGAGTAGAGGGTTGCCGTCTCCGTGGAGCAGCCTGTCCCGAGCAGGGGCTGTGCTCATGACCCCGGGACTCCACACCTGCTCCAGCCTGTCAGCAGACCAGCCAGCAGTGGCTTCCCCTGGGATCTGGCAAGTTGCAGAGAGAGTGCTGAATTCATACGGATGCACAGAGGCAGATGGGGCTAATACCTTGTCCACTCCTTCCTGGGGCCTCACCCAGTGTCTTTCCCCAAACCTGGGGGTCCAGGCACCCCTCTCCTCCATTCCCAGACATCACCAAGTCTTATGTTTACAAACGGTGCCAGCCTGGCTCGGCCAGGGGCCAGGGGCCATCCCGTGCCTCAGTGCTGTGAGTTGTCCTCTGTTAGCTTTCCCCATGGCGGGGAGTCTGTTTCTCTCTCAGATTCCAGATGGGTCCCTCTTTTCAGAGGCACAAAAGTGGGTGATGGAGAAGGCTAGGAGCCTTTCAGACCTGTGCAGGCTGGGCTGGTCAGGATCAAGGTGAACCTGTCCGGTATCCTCTCCTTCAATGATTGCTTCTCTCTGCCCTCCCCTGCCAACCCTAGCATGGTAGCCCAGAGGCAAGCAGGGCAGCTGAGTTATTGCCTGGGCAACACTGGAGAGCAGTTCCACCAGCCTGGAAGTTTCCCTTTCAATCTGGATCTTGTGTGCTCCTTCCCCCGCCCCATCACTTCACCACCTCCACCCCGTTTTTCTGTGTAGTTCAGTGTCCTGTCAACTTCCTCAGCTCCTCATGTCCAGGCCTGGTGTAGCCTGTCAGTCAGGTTGAGGTCACACCTGGATTGTGCCCCAGGCATGCTGAGGAGGGACACTATTCCCCCATTGCACATTCCCGTTTTGAACACCTTGGCCACTCACTTTGGCCAACACCAGGCACCAAAGCAGGCTTCCTCTGCCTGGAACACCTGTCATTTCCCTGCCCCAAAACCTCTGTACTGGGGCAGGGTACTGGGACCTCGCCCCACAGCCCACCACTCAGGGCAGTCAGATCTAAGAAGCAGAGGCCGGATAGGCTTCTGCTCAATCCCCAGACTGGGTGACCTGCCTTTCCTCACACCCTGGCCCCTGGGGCCAGAGCCACTCTGCTGGTTTCTCTCAGCCAGCCTGCCGCGCCTCACCAGGCCCTGCCAGCTCCCATCCCCTACGAGCAGGAGCACGGCCCCCACCAGCGTGGCCGCCCAGCCTCCCGATGCTGGACTTCAGGGGTGGCGGAGGTAAGGGAGTCATTGCACAGAACCAGACCAGTCGGGAAAAGGGGCTGGAATCCGACCTCTAGGCCTAAACTCAGGAGCCCCCTTCCCTCCCTGCCAGGGCATTTTACTGTGTCTTTTCTACTCGTGCACATTCAGACCAGGGAAGGTGGTTAATAAAAAGAGGCTTGTGCTGCTGAGCTGCGTGGCCTGTGTCTGGCGCCGGGGACGGAGTCCTGGCCACTGCTGGCAGGAGGAAGGCGGGCTGGGCTGGGGGTGGAGGGTGGGGTGAGNTGTGGGTGAAGAGGGCCAGCAGGTCTCAGAAGAAAGACTCCAGCCTGACTTCCCTGTGGAAAAGGGGTGTGAGTAGAGGGTTGCCGTCTCCGTGGAGCAGCCTGTCCCGAGCAGGGGCTGTGCTCATGACCCCGGGACTCCACACCTGCTCCAGCCTGTCAGCAGACCAGCCAGCAGTGGCTTCCCCTGGGATCTGGCAAGTTGCAGAGAGAGTGCTGAATTCATACGGATGCACAGAGGCAGATGGGGCTAATACCTTGTCCACTCCTTCCTGGGGCCTCACCCAGTGTCTTTCCCCAAACCTGGGGGTCCAGGCACCCCTCTCCTCCATTCCCAGACATCACCAAGTCTTATGTTTACAAACGGTGCCAGCCTGGCTCGGCCAGGGGCCAGGGGCCATCCCGTGCCTCAGTGCTGTGAGTTGTCCTCTGTTAGCTTTCCCCATGGCGGGGAGTCTGTTTCTCTCTCAGATTCCAGATGGGTCCCTCTTTTCAGAGGCACAAAAGTGGGTGATGGAGAAGGCTAGGAGCCTTTCAGACCTGTGCAGGCTGGGCTGGTCAGGATCAAGGTGAACCTGTCCGGTATCCTCTCCTTCAATGATTGCTTCTCTCTGCCCTCCCCTGCCAACCCTAGCATGGTAGCCCAGAGGCAAGCAGGGCAGCTGAGTTATTGCCTGGGCAACACTGGAGAGCAGTTCCACCAGCCTGGAAGTTTCCCTTTCAATCTGGATCTTGTGTGCTCCTTCCCCCGCCCCATCACTTCACCACCTCCACCCCGTTTTTCTGTGTAGTTCAGTGTCCTGTCAACTTCCTCAGCTCCTCATGTCCAGGCCTGGTGTAGCCTGTCAGTCAGGTTGAGGTCACACCTGGATTGTGCCCCAGGCATGCTGAGGAGGGACACTATTCCCCCATTGCACATTCCCGTTTTGAACACCTTGGCCACTCACTTTGGCCAACACCAGGCACCAAAGCAGGCTTCCTCTGCCTGGAACACCTGTCATTTCCCTGCCCCAAAACCTCTGTACTGGGGCAGGGTACTGGGACCTCGCCCCACAGCCCACCACTCAGGGCAGTCAGATCTAAGAAGCAGAGGCCGGATAGGCTTCTGCTCAATCCCCAGACTGGGTGACCTGCCTTTCCTCACACCCTGGCCCCTGGGGCCAGAGCCACTCTGCTGGTTTCTCTCAGCCAGCCTGCCGCGCCTCACCAGGCCCTGCCAGCTCCCATCCCCTACGAGCAGGAGCACGGCCCCCACCAGCGTGGCCGCCCAGCCTCCCGATGCTGGACTTCAGGGGTGGCGGAGGTAAGGGAGTCATTGCACAGAACCAGACCAGTCGGGAAAAGGGGCTGGAATCCGACCTCTAGGCCTAAACTCAGGAGCCCCCTTCCCTCCCTGCCAGGGCATTTTACTGTGTCTTTTCTACTCGTGCACATTCAGACCAGGGAAGGTGGTTAATAAAAAGAGGCTTGTGCTGCTGAGCTGCGTGGCCTGTGTCTGGCGCCGGGGACGGAGTCCTGGCCACTGCTGGCAGGAGGAAGGCGGGCTGGGCTGGGGGTGGAGGGTGGGGTGAGGAAGGCCTCTGGCTTCATTGTCTAGAACCCCATCTTAGGAATGGGCCCCATCCTGTTCCCTTTACCAAGCTGGGGACCCACGAGTGGTTCTTGACACCTCCCTTCCACATCCCATCAGCCCTCCCCCACCCACTGGGGACTGTGCCTCAGCCTTAGCTCAAGCCCTCGCCTTGTCTTCCCTGCACTGCTGTGGCCTCAAACAGGCCTCCAGGCTGCATGTCCATCCCCGATCTCAACTCTGGGTGAGCAACAGCCAAAGCCAAATTAATCCTTTTATCCCTCTTACTCAAGACATCCCTGCCTTTTGCTCACCACACTGGTAAGCATCTGAACAATGTCTGTCTGCCCCAGTAGACTAAGCTCCATGGGAGCAGGGCCATGTCTCCCTTCCCCATTAGGGTCAAGTGTTCAATAGCGATTGAACTAACAGATGAGATAATGAATGAATATCAACTGCCATTTGTTGAGTTCTGACCTTGGGCCAGCACTTGACCCATATCACTCTCACTTGGTCTTCACAACTCTGAAGGAGCGAAAGCTAAGAGATGTTAAATAGCTCACCCAGGGACACACAGGTGGTAAAACTGGAGCCAGACAGCCCTCTTACCATGCGTGGGTAAACAAGTCAGCAGAGGGCTCACTCCGTACCAGCCTGGTGATTTCGGACCCCAGACGGCAAGCCCAGGGAACCTACAACCCCCATGCTGGCACCGACACCAGATCTTGGAAGCCTGGGGTCACTCTCCCAGCTAGTCCATGTCCAGTGGTTTGATGCCTGCTGGCTAGTGGCTCCGGGCAAGTCACTTCACCCCTCTGGGCTTGTTTTCCAAACTCTAAAGTGGGAATGACCTTATTACCTCCTAGGGTAGAGGGGAGTCCATGTAAAGAAAGAACATGATGCCTTGGCCACCAATGTGGCTCAGTGTTTAGAGCGTCAGCCCGAAAACCATGAGGGTTGTGAGTTTGATTCCCAGTCAAGGGCATGCACCTGGGTTGCAGGTTCGATTCCCCAGCCCCGGTCAGGGCACGTGCGGGAGGCAACCAATCCGTGTGTCTCACATCGATGTTTCTCTCTCTCCTCCCACTCTCTCTAAAAATCAATGGGAAAAAATATCCTTCGGTAGGGGTTAACAAAAAATAATAATAAAGTACATGAACATGGCAAGAGCTTTTATCCAGAAATCCATGTTTAGAGAAGAAATGTGAAAACTCAGCTTCTTGGGAGGGCCCAGGCTGGGCTTCCCCTGCCACTTCCTGGGAGCCAGGGTGCTTTCCCACACTTTAAAACGTGCACACTGAATTTCTAATGGCTCAGGGTACGAATCCCGATTCCTTGGG